TTCTCGAAACGGTCTCTTCTAAATTTTTTTGAGCCGACCTATGCCATTCAGGATCTTTCCTCCTGTCGACATTGGGGAGAGGTGAACGCTATGCCTCAATTTTTTCCCCTTTAACTTCTCTTCCGCTTCCTTTTCGGACAGTCAGTTCGGCGTACCGTTCTTCACGAGGTAATCCCCAGAATTCTTTGTATTTGAAATAGATTTATTTTTTACACCCTCTTAGCGGTCAACTTTGGTCCTACACGCTTCTTATAAATTTTTTTTCATTTCCCTTTTTCTTTTTCTAAAGTGCGGTGAAGCTACGAATAATTTTGCTCTCGTATTTGATGCTTTCATTCTAACCCTCCTCTCCTCGGCACGCGGTCAGCAGCCATTCCTTGTGGTTGCCGCTGAGCACCTTCACAGCCAGATCGAGGGGCGGGCGGGAACAAGGCCCGGCGACGACCGTTCAACGACCCCGGCAGACTGCTCAGTCAAGGTCGCCTCCGTCACCCGACGACCTGCGGCGGAGTTCACCGAGCCCTCGAGGAAGCGCTTCCCAGCGGGCGCCGTCTTCGCGTTTGTTCCCCGGGGAGGCGGGACCCAAAGGGATTGGCCCCCCTTTTCGGTTCCTTTCTCTCCTTACTCCGCGGGCATCCTTCGTCGTTTTAGCCGTTCTCCTCACCCACGGAAAGAACGAGGAAGAGAGGGTAATCGGCGCGGCACCCAGGGTAGGCGGTGAACCCGTGTTTAGGGTTCTGGGAGCCCACGGCGCGAGCTGCGCCCGAGAGGTCAGTGACCGCCGCGCACAGATCATGTGGGCCGCCTGACCGTAGATGCCGGATGGCCGCTTGAGCTTCCGAAAAAAATTTTTTTTTTCGCCGTCTTGTGCCGTTTGCTTTGTAGTTATTTCCGCGTACTCTCTGACCGTTTATCACACTGTCGACAGGCCAAGTGGTCGCTTGATGGTTTACGAGGAACGGCGGCTTCCGCGTGCTCTCCATTTCTCTCTCTCTCTTTCTGAACTTTATTCTAATGTTTATTATTTAGATCCCTGTACTTTTTTTTTTCGCTCACGAGGAGGTGGCGAGGGTTAGCGACGCATCTTGGTCTACATGCAGCCTTATTGACGTTCTTGTTTTCTTTCCTAGGCACCAAGGAACACGCGTTCCGTGGACCATGTGCCCACTCATTTGTTGTGACCGCGGCCCTCGTCTTACTAGCTGCGGTGGGAGGTCAAACGAACGGCGAGCTTCGAGAGTCGATGACCTTCCTGGAAAGTTCACGCGAGTTCACGCTTGACCATGCGAATGCCTCCCTTGCACTTGTTTTCCTATATTCATCTTCAAGTTGTTTTACAATGCATGTCGTTCCTGTCAACCTGTCTAGACAATATCATGATAAAGAAAAAAAAAGGGCGGCCACAGTGACCGAACCCATTTCTTGGGCCGGGGTGCAGCGTACCTATTGGTAATGTTCTCATCAAACAAGTGCTTCTTATTCAGGCAAAAGCCTTGAATGCCGCATCAAACGCGAAAAGGACCGTTGGCATCAACACTAATTCATGCAACAAAGTCATCATGACGTCACTGTAACATCAAATAAAGCAACGGTGCACTGTGACGTCGATATATGATTTCCTCACTCGATCAAAGGCAGGAGCGTAGGCAGAAATTTTGTTCGGGGGGGGGGGGGGGTTGATTTATGCTACTACCTGGTTTCGCCGCCGATCAAAGGTGAGCCCATTCCGGAAGTAGTGCGAAAACATGTTAGATGCAGCAAACTTTCGTGGGACACAACAGAAGAGGGGGGGGGGGGGTCAGTACAATCAATGCAGAATAAAAATGATGGATTTCACCGTCGAGTCGGGTTCAACGAACGCATTCGACTTTTGGTACTTTCATCCGGCTTGTCGAGCGCTTCAAACAAGAACACGTCTCCCAAATATGATCACTTTGATAACGTCACATGCGGGATGAATTTTAGCGGCCATTTGTACGCGGAGTTTGTTTAACCACACGAATGCATGCACGCACGGCATCAGAGGTGCAGGAGCGTATAGGCTAACGTCAAGGTAACCTATACGTGCAGTGTCTTCGGATGGTGCCTTACGAAATAGGCTACCCCTAGCTGCAGCGTTGGCCCGCCATGACGACAAGACCTTGTCAGAACAATCATGGCTCGTATGCCGACACGATCTGCCATCGCACAGAGAATCAGCCAAGGGCTTTATTGAACTTCTTGAGTGACATCAACCTATTGAATAGGCTCTAGCACCCCCGCATTTGTTTGTTTTTTCGTGCGTCTACTTTTCTCCTGCCTTTCCTTCTCAATTTTCTTTGCCGTTCCCCCTCCCCTAAGTGTAGGGTAGCGAACCATGTGCTACAGTCCTGGTGGTCCTTCCTGCCTTTTTTTTCATTTCTTTTTCTCTCTCTATCCAGTCCGTCTTTGCCGTCGTAGTGTATTCGCAAATTTTAGAAACATCAAATTTTATTTGTGGCTCGCATTTTCCCCCTGTCTCGATGATCTTTCCTCCTGTCTTGAATGCACGTTTAGGTGCGATCTTCAGCCTTGCGCAAGCCTAGGCAGGTATAATGGCCGCCTTAATTGTGGTGCCTCTATAGTTATGAGCACACGTCAACCTCGGACTCTACATTCAAAACCGCGTTCAGTATAAGCATAGTTACCTGAGAGTTGCTCATTTTTCAGGTTAACACTTTAGTGATTCAGAGGAAAGCGAAATCTGAATCCCGTGGCAGTCTTTTAGGAAAGTTTCTCCGCGCGCCTCAAGCGCGTAAAGGTGCAGCGTGATGCAACGATCATGGCATTTAGGCAAGTTTAAAATGCGCACTACTTCATTTATTTCCAATACGTCATGCTAACTGATTGTAGCACTTTGGCTGTGTCGTAGAGCTCTGCAATATCCTATTGATAACGGCTACTACTCGACCATGAGAAAAAAACAGAAATAGATTTGCTTGTTTAGAGTGAAGGCTACACTAGAGCCGACCAGAGTTTAATAGCTACAACTATAACAATGTAAAAGAAATGCACACTTCAGAAATTTGCAGCCCAATCACACTCGCTTGCAGATTCCTCAGCTGACGAGAACATGTTGAAAATTTACGAATGTACTCGAGACGTCCATGCATTGTCATGATTATCGACTGGAGAACATTAACAACAATTTATATTCTTCGCCATATTTCATATCAGCTCCCAATGTTTTGCTTTGACTATCAGGAGCTCTGGAGACCTCCGACGGCTGGCCCTACCTACCTTCGCTGTGAGTTCACACCGTGCACATTGTTGATGTTAATAATTAACATTGACAATACGGGTTCACATCCACTTTAGCCGAAAGTAGGCAGTTGTAATGATGACGATGGCCCATTTGTCGTGGCTCACCTTCTAAAAGGTTCTGATGAATTTCAGTGATGTTCCGTGCAGGGCACTTTTAGCCGGTCGTTTTGAGCTTTAGCCGGTAATTTTGAGCCAAAGGGGAAAAGGTAATCTTCATGATATTGCAGGTAATTTCAATATTGGTTAAATTCTCCTATGATGACTGATAATTAGGGTCATAGTGCGTCTTCATCTACTGTAACCTATTCTGGGGCATGCACCACACAAGCATAGCACTCGAGATTTGTTTCGTATATTTGTGCAAAGTGATTTCTAGTTCACAATTGGTCTTATATAACAAGCCTACAATGTACAGTATATGAAATAATATAGTCATGCTTTTGTTGTGCGGCAGTGGAGAACCACTCATGATTTCAAAAGTCACCAAAACGTCAGACACGTGTATTCATAGTATGTGCGTCCATGGATGGTCCTGGAATTCAGTGTTGTTCTTCTGGGAAAAATGCTGAGAAACTCGTGAATGTTTTCAGGAAAAAATATCCGAAATAGAGAATTTCCACATCTCTGAATGGGAATTCTTCAACGTAGTAGGGAACATCAATGATGAGCTTCTTGTTAAACGCAACGGTGCATCTTAAAAGGTCCCTGAAACACTTTTTTGAAGTAAACGGGAAACGGAGTTACTCAAACAGCTTATTGCCTCACGAATTGAACACCGCCAAAAATTTAAGAATCCGTCCAGTGCGAGCGCAGTTCTCGTTCATGTTCACCTATTGCTCATGGCACATACCCGCTGTGGGGAATTGGCCATGGACTGAGTGTTTTTCTAAGATACTGTGCAGTTTTAGAATATAGAGGTTATAATTTAGAAATATTACAATCACCTATAGAAAATTGTGGTGTTTGGTATATTGCATATAAATACTTAAATAAATAAAAGAATTCATGCTTACATTAGAGCACTACTCTGATTTTTGAACGTATATAACGTTATAGACACGTTAGAATAATAATGCAGAATAATTCGTCAACCTATCAGTTTCATTATTATAGTTCCTGACCGGGCATACTCTTGCACTGGAAAAGCCAGAAATAGAAACTCCGAAAGACAAAATGACACGCACAGATAAATCCATACCAGTACCACGTAGAAGTAACTTTAAAAGGGCTTTTGGCATTGTAGCAAACCGCCTGCAGGTCAAAAAGATATGATCTCTTGTTTCCAGTTTCCCACGGAAAGCGCGCAGTGGCGAAGGTGCCTGAGCAGACCTGTGTTTGTTGAAATTTATATTCGGTGATAGCTATTTCTAGTTTACGAGTTTGGCAAAAGGCTCTTCGCCAGGGACATAATAAATGCCGATATTCGGTAGAAGTCGTAAGTGAGGTTTTTCCAAAGTCTTCCATAAGCGCACGCCTGCGGAATCGAGCAGCAGTCTTACATAAGCGGATGTTGGAAAGTACAGTAGAATTGGAAACCCGTTAGAGCGGAGTTAATTCATCCATACGAGGTCATCATCATCATCGTATTCTACTTCCTCTTCTCCTCGATCTGCTGCTCGCGCCAATGCTGCACTGCGTGACACGCGATCGAGAAGAAGTCGTTTCAGTGTGCTACGTGTAGGTGGATCTTCACATTCCGCTTCCTGTTCTCTGCGGCTATGAGCCCGGAGTCATCGCCGAATCTGCTGACGTCCAGCAGCCAGATCTCCCCGACACCGGTGACCAGCATACGCAGTCAGTCCTGGCCACTGGACGAGCGTCACGAGCAAGAGGGCAACGGCGCTGACAGCCGAGAAGGAAAAGGGTACGCCGTAAGCACGCTGGCGCCTCTGAAGCATTCGTGCGAGCCCCTTACGTGGCTTCGAATCTCCTGCCTCCATCTCCTCAGGTTACCCTTAATCTGCGTCTCTAATTTCTTATTCTCCTTAATCTGCACGAATTGGTGCCGGTGTCACGCGAGCACTTTCCATCGCGATTATTGATTCATTGATATCTGGGGTTTAACGTCCCAAAACCACTATAGATTATGAGAGACGCCGTAGTGGATGGCTCCGGAAATTTAGACCACCTGGGGTTCTTTAACGTGCACCCAAATCTGAGCACACGGGCCTACTTTTTCCATCGCGATTAGGGCAGACCGAGATCTTATTTCTTGATAGGGATCGACAATCATCCCTGATGCACTATCCCACCGATTCGAATTGTATTAGCGCAAACGTCAGCCATATCACGATCGTATGGATCCCTATATGGCGAAACCGCAACCAAGTGACCGTGTAGCCGCATCTGATCCGGATTGAGTCCAGTCCAGATCATCTTTAAGGCTGTTTTACATGCCGCGATTACAGCGAAAAAAAAAAATCGTTCCGTTCGCTGCAATCGCTCTATTCGCAAACGCTGCTAATGGCAGTTCCGTTTTACATGGACCGCGAACGGTCCATGGTGTCCACTTTGCAACTGGAGCGGCGAGCGACGTTTCTTGCCACCGTTCATTGTGGCAGACAATAAATTTTCCAAATATAATGTAACAATCTTTGCGCTATGATATTATTAGGTGTGCATGGACGGTAACGAGGAGTACTTGCGTTTCGTCATTTATTTAAGAACACTTTCCAATCTAACTACACTTTGAATGCGCAACAGCAGCCATTACCAAAACAAACACGTTAACGCAATCTCGACAGTTTGACAGGGCCTCACTCTATTTCGAAGGGCCCCGAACCGAAATCACTTCCGCCGATGCGATAGAGCAAAAATTTCTCCAAATGTTGGAAGCTCGCCGTTGACCGCTGTGGTGGGAGCTGAACTGGTGTTTTTTTTTTTTTTTTTCACCGCGAGCGAATTCGCAGACTGAAAAATCGCTACTTTTTGTGTCAAATGAAACAGCCTTTATAATCGCGATTGAAATTGCCTGGGTCATCGGTATGAAGAAGTGGTCGATGTCAGTTGTATGTGACATCATTTGGCGTCCCGAAATAGTGTCACGTTGTTACATGAAACTACTAACGCCGTAATACGACATGTTGGTCCAGGTCTCGAGATGCATCGCCTGCTCTCGCCAAATCTAGCCTGTCTCTCAGCCGGCCTCATAAATCATCAGGTCTCAAAAATCTCGTAAAATATCTGGATACATAGTAGACACTATCGGGCTAGCAGCCTGAATATTTAATGCTTGGCAGTACACCTTTTCACCTTATATATAATATACATATACTCTCGTCAGCCAAACCACCTCGTCTGAACTCTCTTAAATCAAAGCTATCTATGACGAGTTTCGTGAACTGGATTATTCGTAGTTGCTGTCTAAGCATCTGCAGCGTTTGAAGACAGTTTTTGACTTCTTGTATATTTGAGAGCGATGTTATTCAGGCATTTGCAAGCCTCTGCGGGTCACGGCCACCTTGATTTTATTCTCTGCGTTACTGACCGGCCAACGAATAAGCTCTGGCTCACCGCCTGTTGCAGCAAGTTCGCAAGCAGTCCTCGGTACGGGCAGCCTAAAAAGTGAACGCGCTGGCAAATAATGACCTCGCATAACGCTTTGAACTAAATGGTTTCCATGATAACGAGCTAACGCAAACCCACCGCCATTTGCTCGAGAGCACCGTTATTCCTCTTTTCTTTGCACACTTTGTGCATATGTTGGTCTTCGGCAACGAACTTGTGACGATCTCCTGCGTACACTATATCAGCTCCTAAAGTATACCCGCCGCTCTCTACAGGCCATCCGGCAAAAGCTCGCCCCGGCGAATGGTCGTGGCGGCGCTGAGCAACGCCATCCTGCAGTTCGGCATCAACTTGTACCACGCCCGGCAATCGCATCGCGCAGCGCCTGCAAGCGACCCGCAGCATGCCCATCACCACCCACAAAATGTGGTCTTCTCGCCTTACCTGATCGCCAGCACTCTGCAGCTGATGCAGTCGGGCGCACGCGGCGAGACGGCGGCGCAAATTTCGCGCCTCTTGCAGTGGCCCGTACAAGCAGGCGTCGATAAACAAGAACAAGTAGAGCAGGTAAGTGCTCGTGGGCAGTTTAGCGGATACGAGAAGTACGCAGCATTTTGTTTGGCCTTTTTCAGGTGAAGCGTTTTATGACTTTTGATTTCAGTGGCAGCGTTGTCGCGTGTGAGAAACCCGGCGCATGCCGGAAACCAAAACGGGGCCCTCTAATGGACGTCGGTGGTATTGGCATGTGGCATCTTCTAATGCTGGTCTATCGCTCGTCTGCTTGCCGGTAATCACCCGCATCTGACTTGGCAATCTGAATGATAAATCCTTGGCACTTCCACGCTCATTGCATGCCAAAACATGAACGCACCCTGTCACATTCCGGCACGGGCTCCAGAATGAGATCAGGCCTGACGACTTCGTCACACTCGCACTGAGAGTCGTTTCACTTCCACCGCGGAAAGAAAGGCACAAATAAACAATGGTAAAATAAATGAACAAAAACCACCCACATCTTCCCACGGGGAGAACTCGAGTAAATGCGTCACAGTGTGTGTGTGTGTGGGAAGTGTGTGTGTGTGGGGGGGGGGCATTGCGTGAATCTCGCGTAACAGGTATGGTTTAAGAATGCTTAATTGTTATTTCGTCTTTATTTTTCTTATTTATTGAATGAAGGAGAAGCATTGCTTCAACGAGTGGTGAGACGCTTAGATGCGATCCAGTGCTAACTTATTTGGGGTAGCCGGTGAATGGTTGTAGTGGTTGTAAATAACTTCATTAAGGCAGCTGACGGTTTCCTAAGTGGCGAGAGCTGTCAGGCCATGCCTGGTCGCCACCTCGTCAACGCTTTTGATGGCCCGGAGCTGGGTGTCCAGGCTTGTGGTCGGAACGATTCTCTCCCAGGCCTCACTTGAACGTGACTGTCCTAAGAGGTTTGGTGGGGAAGGGTCCTTGCTGCATCCCCCGATGATGTGGTCCAAGGTTGCGGTCTGTGTCTTGCAAAGGGTGCACGAAGATGGGAATAAGGCTGGGTATATGTGTCTGTATATGTACGGGCAAGGGAATGAGTTCGTTTGAAGCCGCCGCCAATGATTTGTTGAGCTTTGTTTTGTTGCGGATGTGGAGGTGGTCTGGTTTGCCTTAATAGCTTGTAGTACGTACTGCGTGATGTCGTGAAAGGTGATGGGTGGTTCGGTTGCTTCGGTATCATGGTCCTAAGTCTGGCCCACCGCTCGGTGTACGAGTCTTCGAGCTTGTCTGTGGGCGGCTTCATTACCCGTGTTTCCTGCGTGTGCTGGGACCCAGATGAGTTGAATTAAACGGGGATCGTCATCGTCGCTGCTGCTGGCAGCAGTGTCGGTTGGGGCGTTGCGTGCCGCTTGGGGCAGAGGACGGAGTATTCGTGCCGTGGTTGGGGAAACATTGCCACGGGCAAATCGGGTGATGGCAGATTTGCCGTCAATATTGATTGTTTCAAAGCCGGCTATTGCGGCGAGTGATATGGCAGCTTCTTCGGCCTCTGCTGGGTTCCTAGTGTTTGTATGGAGCCGATACACATCGTGGTAGGCTCTTTATCAACTGGGGTACGTTTCGACGAGACATTGATTGCATATGACTGTTTGGGGGCTGGGTATCTTGCCGCGTCCACATGAGCCGCCTTAGTGTTCAATACCGTATATAGTACTGTGAAGGTTTCTGGCGCGGGCTGATCGTCTGTACCGTCATGAATGCCGGCCAGCATGTGCTTCGGCAACGGCTGCACAAAGAAGCGCTGTCTGATGAGGGGTGGTAGCGAGACCAAGTCTTGTCGCTTGGTGACGAAGAAATGCCGATACGTTGGAGTATTCATCTTCCGGTCTTACTACTACGCAATTGTTCAATTTCTACAGTTTGGTGCGCTTCGATAAGCTCATTTATTGTATGGTGAATTCCAAGGCTGAGGAGGTGCATGGTCGATGTGGTGCGGGAGAGGCCCAGGGTGATCTTGCGAACTGTGCGAATAAGTCTGTCAACTTTTTTTTTTCAGCCTTGATGAGTCATAAGTACGGTAAGGCGTGAGTGAGTCTTCGAAGGCGTTTAACAGCTGCAGAAATTCCTTTTCTTTCATGCCGTGTTTCCGCGCAGAGATTTTTCCTAACTGACGGGCAGTCTGAGTGACGTAGACCACAAGCCTCTCTAGTGCGACGGTATCGCTCCTGCTGGCTGGTACGTGAAGGCCGAGAGCGCGCATGTGCTGCGCTATCGGTATTTCAGATCCGGCGATTCTGAGAGTGATGCTTGGTTCTGGCGGGTGTTTAACCTTATGGTAGTCAGGAGGACGAAGAAGGAGGGGTTCAGATTTCTCCACTGAGCACTCGAGACCCGCACGAGCGACGTATTCGGCCACTGTGTCCAAAGCGCGTTGCAGTGACTCCTCGATCTGTCCGTCGGAGCCGGTAGTGGTCCGTACCGTCACGTCGTCCGCGTATAAGGGTGTGTCGGATGTTGGATATGCGGTCTAGTAACTGTGGGAGTTGACTCATCACAAGGTTGAAGAGGAAACGTGAAAGAACGGCTCCCTGTGGCGTGCGTTTGCTAGATAGGGCAAGTCGCCTAGTGGCGTTGCTCTCATTCAGGGAAAGTTCCACAGTGCGGCCTTGTAAGAAGGAGCACACGTAGTTGTAAATACGTTCCCCAGGGTTTGTTGAAGCCAAGTGCTGGGCTATCTCTTGATGTGTCACCTTATCGAACGGCATTGCGTAGGTCTATGCCAAGCATTGCTCGCGTGCCCGCACGTACAGGGTTTTTCAATAAATCATGGTAGATTTGTGGCAGGGCGTCATGAGTAGGTAAGTGGGCGCGAAAACCGAGCATGGCTGAAAGGAAAAGGTCTTGTTCTTCTGCAGTGTTTCTAGCCAGAGCCAAGACCACGTGCTCGAATAATTTGCCAAGGCATGAAGTTAACGAGGTGGGGCGAAGATTTCATAAATCTGCCTTTTTTTCTTGGCTTTGGTATAAGCACTATTTTCGCGTGCTTCCATTATTCTGGTATACTGCCGTCATGCCAGCAGTCGTTGAAATATCAGTGAGGGCAGTTACTGACTTTGCATCTAGTTTGCGGATTGTTTTGTTAGAGACGCCGTCTGGACCTGGTGCCGAAGTTGTGCGAAGCATTGAAATGACTGCACACGCTTCGGCTTCTGTGATGTCGGCATCAAGAGTTGGGTTTGGTTTACCTTCATAGTGTGATAGTGGTGTCGCTGGTTGGTGGGATTGGTTGATGTATTTGTCCGACAGGTCGGTTACTGGATGTTCGTTTGATCTGGGGTGTTGGTGGACAAGTTGCTTAAGTGTGTGCTGGGCGGCTGCTTTCGAGTCGTCGGGATCCAGTAAGTGGCGTAACAGGTGTCACGTCTTCTTGTTGCCTAGCTGTCGATTGAGTCCGCTGCACAGCTGGCCCCATTGTTGGCGGGCGAGGTAGGTACTGTGTCACTCGATTTGTTCAGAGAGGGTAGTGTATGCGGTGATGCAGTTTCTTGTATCGTTGCTTCTGCCATCTGCGCCGCAGGCTTGCGTGTGCGTCCCCACACGTGGAGAAGACGACAGTCTGTGGCAGGCGTTTAGTCTGCTGCTTTACTTTCGCGCGTTGCGTGTCGCACGTGGTCGTTTAGTGAGGCTGTCCATTCCTTGAGGTTTCTTATGCGTTCCGGGGCTCCACTTTCGCGGACGTCTCTAAATTTGGGTCACTCCATGATTCGAGCGAGTGCTTTGTGTACTCTCTTGGAAGTCGACGCCTGTACCTGGATGGAGAAGATGTAGTGGTCACTACCAATGAGTTGACAGGTGTTCTCCCAACTGGCCTGCACAATATTCTTGCAGTATGCGAGATCGGGTGACGTGTCCCTACACACGCTGTTTCCTATGCGGGTCAGTGTCTTCTGCAGGTCATTTAGTAGAGTGAAACGGAGGTCCTGACTGAGTTGCCATAGCTTCTTGCCTCATTTGTTTGCCTGCAGGTAGTCCTAGTCAGGGTACCCGGCGTTGAAATATCCCAGTATAAGCAGTTATGCGCCTCGTGATAGCGATGTGGTTTTCTGAAAAAGCAGGTTGAAAACGTCTGTGCGTACCCGGAGTGCGCAATATACGATAAGGTTAAAGACTGACTGATGCGAGCGCTTTCGTGGAAGAACTTCCACGACCATGTGTGGAATGTCCGGGAATTCTAAGTCGTGTTGTTTTGCCGTGAGGCTCTTGTGGACGAGCATACCTGTACTTGGAGCTTCTTGATTGTGCAGGTCGGTGAATTGTTGGAAAGCGATGTAACCCTGCAGTGAGATAGCAGCCGTTGTTTCCTGTAGTTCGATGACGTCTGGAGGCGTTTGGCAATTTGGCAGTTGTGTTTCTTGTACGAGTTGCTGCAGGTGGGCTTTCTTTTTACGGACGCCCCTGCAGTTACACTGCCATATAGTCAACTGGGTGCGGGCCATGATGTATCAGCTGGAGGATTACTTGAGGGCGTCGTGGGATTGCGGTGCTGGGTGGAAGAGTGAGAGGACACTCATTTGCGTATGACATCTGGGGCTCTGGCCAGGCTTTGTTCAATTACTGCAAAACTGGTGTCTGTGGCAGTTCTAAGTGCTTCTAATCCTCCTACGGTGTTGCTTATGGTAGCTTCCATGTTTGATAGTCATGTCTCTCTGTTCGTTAAGCGTGAGTCTATGGTTGCGAAGGCTTCTGTTACGGTGGCGTAAACGGCTCTGCGACCGTCGTGTGGACTTTTGTGCGGAGGGCTTCGGCAACGGATGCGTTGACCGTTAAAAGAATTCTCGCTGTCGTGTCCTCTTCGGATTGCAGAGTTTCCGCGGAAGTCGTTGCTTTACGTTTGGCTGGTGCGGCTGGTTGGGGCTGTGGAGTTTAATTATGCACGGAATGGCTGGTCTTTGCCACTCGGATTTCTAGAGAGCGGTTCTGTGCAAGCAGCGTTTTGATCCGAGCTTGCTGCGACGTCATTTGAGATTTCAACACATTAACTGTTTGCGTAAGTTCCTTGACGAGCGGGTTATGCGTCGAGGCGCAGGATTTCGATGGCTGCGGGGGAGATAATGGAAGCGAAGACGTTGGGCTTTGCGCCCATGCTACACTAGGGTTGCTTGGTGATGATTTTGATAAATCGACATGTCGAATGTGACTTGATGATCGGGTTCTCGATTTGAACCTTGATTGAGAGGCTGCTTGACCCTGACGAGATCGTGACTTCAATTTCATCAGCATTTGTGATGTCCCCCGAGACTGGGGTAGCTACACTCGTCCAAGGCAGGCGGGCTATCGTCATTTGATATTGGCTGCGTCGCTGGTGACTTGGTTTGTAGCGTCTTTTCTGCGTGTGCTGCGTAAAGTGGTTCAGGCTTTTTGGCGAAGCGGTACTGGCAAGTTGAGCTGTTAGTCATGTGTTCTCCTTGACAGTCATATGTCAGGTGTCCGCCGAGATGCGAGGCGCGAGCATACGCAGTGGTGCTGCCGACGCCACCACCAAGGTCGGATTTGCGAGTAGGTGCGACTATAAAATGCTCCGCATTTAAAAATAACTTCCAGCCCGCACCTACCAAGCTTCCGTTAATCTCATTTCCCCCACAGAGGAAGGGCTCCTTAAATTTGTTTTGTATATCACATTTTCTTAACGACAGTACCGGCCTGCCAAAGTGTTGTTCTTTTCCCTGTCAACCAGGTGGTCCGCTACTTCGAACATCGAGACAAGCGTCTGCTGCCGGACGGCCGTCACGACTGCTACCAGAAGGCGGGCTTCACAATCCAGTACGACTGCTGTCTGCACAGAGACCGCCGGGTGACGCTCAAAGAAGAATTCCAGGCGCGCCATCTGAGGCCATCGACAGCAGACTGGGTGGTGTCCACGTCACTGAGCGGCGGCGCTGAAAGCGGCAGCGACAGCCGCCGCCACAAGCAAGCACGCGGTAGCCGGCGTCTTCGTAGCCGGAGCCACTGACTTCGTCAACGACTCGGTGCACCAGCGCTGGAAGATCGAGGCGCAGCTGAAGGAGGCCGTCCCGCTTCTGGGGAAAAGCGTCAATTTCGAGGCCCTCCCGCGGGGCACGGTGGAAGAGAACACGTCGCTCGTGCTGCTCAGCGCCGTCGGGATAAAGGGTCGTTGGCGACGCCGCTTCGACCCGATAAACGTGGGCGAGGGCTTCTTCTACGAGCCTGTGCTTGTGGATGCGGTCGACGGGCAGCCAACAGAAGAATGCAAACCGAGAGGCGTCACCATGATGCACCGTACGGGAAACTTCCGCATGGCCGACAGCGCCGAGCTCGAGGCCACGGCTCTCGAGCTGCCTTACAAATCCGGCGCGCGGTGCCTCGTCATCTTCTTACCACAAAAGCGAGATGGCCTCGCTACCCTCGAGGCCCGCATGACGGCGGCCAACCTGGCGCAGTGTCTGCGCCGGATGAAGCGGCGCACGGACGTCGACCTGACGCTGCCCAAGCTATACGTGCGCGACACGATGGACCTTGCCGCGGCGCTGTCGTCGATGGGCGCGGACGCGCTTTTTCGCAGAGGCGCAGCGGACCTTTCCGGCATGTGTGGATCCGAGGGCGCGTTCGTATCCGTCGCCAAGCACGCGGCGGCCTACCGCACCAGCTGGAAAGGACGCGTGAGTCGTTCGGCCACCCTGCCACCGGCGCCGGAGCACGAGAAGTTCACGGTGGACCGGCCGTTTCTTTTCCTGGTGCTCAGCCGGCGACCCAACGCAGTACTTTTGCTGGGCTCCGTGAGGAGCGTCAGACCGCACTTTTGCGAGGAGCTTCTGCCGTCGCCCTGAAATAAGAGTTTGCGACGAGGGTTTCCTAAGACATTGTAATTGATAGTTTAATTATTGTTACGCGGATATATAAGATTGGTCTAGCTATGAGAACGCCATGATTGTTTTTCACTGAAAGATCACAGAACACAGCTACAAGAGGACCAAAAATCGGCAGGAAGAGAGAGATGAGAGAGAAGAGAGAGGAAGAGAGAGAAGAGAGCAAGCGCTATAAAAAAAAATCCGTGAACAGGTGTTGTGTGCTCGTGGCGACGTTTCGACGAGCGCACTTTGCCTTGAAGAAGACAAGTCCGCTCGTCGAAACGTCGCCACGAGCATACACCTGTGCACGGACTTTTTCATAGCTAGAAGCGAAGACGTATAGAGGCACGTTTTTAATTTTGGCGAAAACTAAACACCACACCTGCATGCGGTATTTTCAAACTGAGGACACATGGCGCGAATTGTGAGTTCTACGCAGGCTAGCCCTGATATAAATCATATTGAAGAGCGAATCGTACAAAATTTGATCATAACAGGAGATAACTACTAAAAAGAACTAAGAGCGAGCTTGCAACCGACCACCCCACACACGATCACACTGGACAGCATACCCCGGTGGAAGCTTCCATAGTCGGTCGAGCAACCATACGAGGGAGAAGAAAGAGGAGTAGGTTGTCGAAAAGCAAACGTAAGCAAAAGAAAAGGCGAGGTAACCTGGACTGCTTCAGAAAAATGAGATGCACGATATGTAAGATCGAGTTCGTGTTTAGCAAAACGAAAACCAGGATTTAGTAAGTAAACCAGCGGATAGGAAGAATTTTTCAAGTCGGAATCAATGTACCGTTTCATGCAATAAAACACCAGGCCTACGCTGAAAGCCCAGCACTGTTACAGCGAAAGCTTGGAAAGCGTCGTTTTAGAGATCTCGATCTGGCTGCACTTTCTGGACGTAATTTACGAAAAGTTTCATGCCAGGGCCGCCCCAGTTCCTCTATAGTGTTAGTGCAGCACGCCATAGCGGTTTTGGTGCTCCTGAAGTTGAGAGCAAAAACGCAGTCACGCCGTATACCTTGCGCAATACTTGCACGAGACGAGAACTGACAGGGAAGCAATAGTGCTGAGGTGCCGATGAACTATTGCATGCAGCGCGACGTCAAATGGAGTGCAGTATAACTCGGGTGGCATGAACTGCACCCGCCAAGTCAAGGACCAAAGTGCCGCACTGTTTCTCTGGTGTAGAAAGTGAAGCCAGATCAAAGAGACTATATACTCAGTTTCATACATCAAGTGCTCCACTGTGAATGGTATGCAAGAAGCTCGGCCAGCAAAACGTAAACTCCGCGCGTCTCGTGATCGCTTGCGTGACATGTGATCGGTGCACCCTCGCGTTTCCTTGTGCTCCCCTACGGCGTGACTGGCGAACAGAAGAAAGCGGGGTGACCCGAAAACGCGGGTACTGAACGACCCTGTGGTGTCCTATCCTGCACTGACGCTAAATACGCCACCTCCTGCCGCTGGTCCCCTACGACGACGTCAGCGCACCTCTGGCTGACTGAATTAGCCTATACGCCATCTCCTGTCAGCGGCAAGAGCTCTCGCAAGTGGTGCCCCGTCCTCGGACTCCTGTGACCGTGTTTCCATCTTTCCTATCTCTCTTATGTCGTCGCTCGCTGTCCTTGCGCATCTTTCTCTCTCTCTCTTTATACCTTTAATCCTATCCTTTTAATTCCTCCTCACCCCCCCCCCTTGTGAGCTACTGTTGAGGTGTCGCACGCTGATGCAGTCACGGGGCTCACTTTTCTCTTCTTTTCCTTCTTATAACCACAGTCTGAAAGTCCAGGTGGCCGCCATCATGACGTACCCACAGTAGAGAGTTTGTATGTGACGTCACGGGGAAACTAAGATATAGAGCCACATAATTACAGACGTTCAACGGCGTTTTTGTTTGTAAGGCACACAATATTTTCAATGACTTCTCGCCCCATTAACGAAAGAAAAATTGATTTTTCGTTAAGAACATCGGACTACTCTTTGTTGCGACTTCCACAGCGTTGCACCTGATGGATGAAACGGAGTATAGAGCCCATTGGAAGTACCCTCGGTGCAACTAATACAAGAACACTTCCTATAGGTACCCGATACGCCATAAATCGCAACTTTCCTCAAGTTGGGAAGCACCCACTATGGCCATTCCTTAATTGGCGGAGTAGTGACCCGTTGCAGATCTGCAAGGCACTACGTGCCCTCTGCGGATTACGCTGAATAATTATAGCGGAGCCTTTGTAATGGGTTGGAAGCAATCAACGGCCCACTCTTTACGCAATTCTGTGTGACGTCTGCTTGCACATTTCGCCTGGTCACACGCCTGGTTGCTATTTCGCTCTTTTACTGCGCTATAAATTACGTATCTTAACGTTGTTCCTTCCGAAAATAACGCTTGTATACGGTCTTTATGCGAAGGAATTTCGAGCACCGGGATATAAGTAAGCTTTTAAAAACACACTTCAGCATTTTCTTCGCAATGATGTACATTACGCACATTTGTAATAAGTATGAAGAAAACAAAAACCGGCATGGCCATGTTGTATATTTCTAGGCTGCCAGAGAGAAGACCTTGGTTCAAATCCCGTTCTACTTAGAAGATTTTCCTTATTTTGTTCTTTTTTGTGTGTTTTTGTTTTTGCGATAGCGGCTACGGAAACTGGCGGTGGCGGCGGACAACTATACGGCACCAATGTGATCTCATAACAACTGTAAAAACGGTGAAAAAGCGATCGGTAACTCGTATTAAATCTACAGAGAAGATATGATAGTGGAATTCTAAGAGCTCAATCCGCAGAGCTGTCACAATCAAGTTGCGACGGTGTGACAGAGGGGGGGGGGGGGCCTACGCAGCAGTCGCCTACAGCTTGCGTAGATTTTACGCTTCTGTAAACTTGCGGATTAGCTACATGCTGCGCTGGTCGCAGCTACCCCTGAATTACACGGGAACCATCATGCATATCAGACTCTGCGTACTATACGTAGAATGCGCTGCAGCTTACATACACCATTATTTGCGTCACTCGTGGGATTGGATTAAACAACGTTATACAGCTATCTCAGTCGAAATGTGAAGTTTATCACGATCTGTCCATATTGAGTATGTATTGGAGATGGTTAAAGCGCAACGACGTCGAAGCGCATCTAGACGTCGCGTAAATGAAGTTTACACAATTTCGAAACAATACTTGAGAAAAACGAGTCAGCTTCGTATCAGTGGCGCTGAACCAAGTGCCGAAGTGGGCAACAGTCTATTTCTCTTCGGTTTCTCTCTTTCATCGTATCTTTTCTTTCTCTTTTTCGCGCTTTTCATTTTTTCTCTTTATTTCTATTTTCATTTCTATTCTTCTACATCCCGCCTGTTTTCTTATGCTCTATGCTTACACATCGCTAAGCCTGCGTTATATAAAGCGATCATAGCATACAACAGCACTCGGCAGCCAGGGAACCTAAAGTGTTCTGCACTTATCATCATCAAGGCGCTCGATGAACAGAGCGTGGAGACCTTTCTTTGGCGTGAGAGCGCACTCAATATGCTATTTAGATGGCTATGCTACACGTGCAGTCGTTATGCCAAGAAATGACAGCATACGACAGCCAACGTCCCTAAAGTACTGTAAAGTTTGTATTACAGTAATTGCCATCTCACGCACAGCGAAAAATTGTGACGATGAAGAACAATTGTCGCTAAAATAAATGATAGCGCATTAGGTACTATAACACTATATCGTGATCAAATTGTCGCCTGGTCAGACAATGATGAACAAGTGTATAGCAGACTTGATGTGCATATCTTGCACATGAGTGATATGCGTAGTCGATGACGCTTCCATATATGTACGAGGTCGCATGCTCAACGACAATGATAAAAAACAAAAACAACATCAAGTCAATTCACTTTTAGCGCGTGGCCACGATTTCCCTACAAACCGGACAACTGTACTCGAGTGATCACAATTCGACGGATGGGGTGCTTACACAGCAGTCGCCATGCTTGTGAATTTTTCGGCCGTCTGTAATGTCACTAATGAGCTATATGACCTGTGCTATCCTACGAGTCACACTTGAAACATCGTGCATATTAGTGTAACACGTAGAACATGCTGCAGCTTACGTACACGGTTGTTTGTGTCCTTCAGGTGGTTTTACATGAAACGTGGTACCACCATCGCAGGCAAAATCGGTAGTTTATCGTGATCTGTTAATATTAAGGAGTCAAACGGAAACGACGACAGCTCAGCAACTACGCATTTTCACATCACGTTAATGAAACTCAGCCAATAAATAACAACAGTTGAGAAACTCAAAATGTGCGTTTCACACCATGCGTAAAATTGTCAGGATTAATTGTGGTTACTGCAAAAACAAGCGCACGCGCACTAGGTCCATCTGGTTGTTTACTGGTAAGAGGAAAGCCACTTACTAAATACATTGTTCACACTATGTACCCGTGACCTGGCACTCCTTGGGCATCCAACGGCCCTTGTGCCATAAAACACAGTATATCGTCAAGAACTGGTAAGAAAATGAAGCAAAAAAATCTTCCTAGCAGAGTTGAAGTGCATATCTTACACATACATGGTAAGCGATTTGCGCCATCGATGGCGCTGCCACTTCCGTACATGTGCGATGTCGGGTGCTCAACCGCCCTCTAGCCCAACCAGCGCGCTTGACCAACTCGAGGACAAGACGTATGTGTACACGTTCCGCCATTACAGCGGCGTGAACATACTACACGCTTCGAGCAATACGACGGCACCATCGTGGTGCCATGCTAGCCCTGGACCACGCTCCGGACAGCTTTCCCATCCGCCAAGCAGTTACTGCAACCTGGGCTACTCAACCCTGCCGGCACGCCCATCTTGTACCGGGCTGCCTTCCAAAACCGTGGAAGTCCAATGACGTTCATCACGGCTCTGGTAATGTCTTATGGCACATAGCGCTTATTATAGTTGTCGTTTAGGTCATTGTCATAG